GACAGAGAGTCGACGGCGTTACATTTGGCGGCTGACGGCGGGTTCGCAGATTGCGTCGACTTGCTTCTTTCCAAAGGTGCCGACGCGAGTTTGAAAAATCACCGCGGCTTCACGGCTTTACATTTGGCCGCCCGATCAGCAAGCCTGGAGTGTGTCGAATCGTTGTTGCGAAAAGGTAACGCCGAACCTAATGCTATGGACTTCGACATGAGATCACCGCTCCATGCCGCCATAGGCAAGTCCGACAGTGCCTGTGACATTATTGAAACATTGATCAGTTGGGGGGCGAATGTCAACCAGAAAGATGAGTACGGTTTCACGCCTCTCCATTTGGCCGCTCTGGATGGCCTTTCTGCGTGTGTCGAGACTTTAATTTACCACGGCGCCGACGTCACGACGAGATCGAAGAAGGGAAATTCTGCTCTCAATGTTATTGCCCGCAAGACCCCGGCCTCTCTCGCTATGGTGACGAGGAAACTAGATTGCGCTATCACGCTGCATCATTCACAGACAAGCAACAGAGAAGTAGAGTTAGAACTCGACTTTCGCAGCATACTCCAGCACTGCTATCCGCGAGAAATAAGCTACCTTAACACTTTTGTAGATGAAGGACAGAAGGAGGTGCTGCTCCACCCATTGTGCTCGGCATTCCTATATATAAAATGGGAGAAAATTCGCAAGTACTACGTGGCGCGGCTGTTCTTGAGTTTCATATTTGTCTTGTGTCTCACTTTATACGTCTTGACCGCGTTGGCTCACAACTGCTACAACGGCAGCAAGGATATGGAAGAGACTATTCAAGAACAAGAATTGTGTCAAAAACAATCGATTCTAGGGGACCTGTTGAGGAAAAACCCGTTCGTTATCGAAATGCAATGGTGGGTGTTAGCAGGGATCACCATTTTCGAGATATTCAGAAAGGTTTACGGTATAGCTGGCTACTCCACCGTCAAACAATACCTAATGCAGTCCGAAAACATAATAGAATGGTTCGTCATCGTGAGCGTATTTCTCATTTCATACATTTACACAAATATAACTTACACATGGCAAAACCACGTTGGTGCGTTTGCAGTTCTTGCCGGATGGACCAACCTGATGATGATGATCGGCCAACTGCCAGTGTTCGGTACTTACGTGGCGATGTACCAAAAAGTCCAAAAGGAATTCGCAAAACTTCTCATGGCCTACTCTTGTATATTGATCGGCTTTACAATCAGTTTTTGCGTCATATTTCCGGATTCCTCATCATTTGCTAATCCATTTATGGGCTTCATTACCGTTTTAACTATGATGATTGGAGAGTTAAACTTGGACTTACTGCTTAACGAACCCGACGGTAATGATCCACCGGTATTATTAGAATTTTCGGCTCAAATCACATACGTGTTGTTCCTCATGTTCGTGACAGTCGTTCTGATGAATCTGCTCGTCGGTATAGCTGTCCACGATATCCAAGGATTGAGAAAAACCGCCGGATTGTCCAAACTCGTGCGCCAAACCAAACTAATATCGTACATGGAGTTGGCATTATTCAACGGATATTTACCTAAATGTCTTCTAAAAATTTTACATTCATCAGCATTAGTTTCCCCACAAGCTTACAGAGTAGTTTTGAGTGTAAAACCTCTGAATCCCAGCGAGAAAAGATTGCCTAGAGACATAATGATGGCCGCTTACGACATTGCAAAGATGAGGAAGCAGTACGGTCACACAATATCTTCGAATGGATCTACTACAGGGACGTATTCTTGCTTCAAAAAGTATGAGAATAATAACGACTCGGGTTACAGGGAGTACGGATATTCTGGCTTAGGAAGCCTGCAGGCGAGGCTGGACGAGACTTCGGAGAACGTTCGACAGCTGACGCAGGAGGTAAGGGAGCTGAAGAAGTTGATCAGCGCACAGCAGCTGGTTATTCAGCAAGCGCTGGCGGGCACAGTGCGGGACGGCGGGGGACGGCCGCTGATCACGTAATGCTCGGGACCGTTTAGTTTCAATGCCAGCAGCGAGTGAGTCAATAAACTATCGCGACGGTGGCGGCGGCCAAACGCTGTAATAATCTCTCGTTACGTGCTACCGAGGGCGGATTAGAACTTAAAATATTTTGAAGTGTTGTCTATTTTCTTTTTAATATTGTATATAAAATTAGGGATTCGTGTTAGAAGTTAGATTTATTTCATTAAAATCATATACTTACATTTGGTATATCATCTGGTGATAAAATTACAACCAAACCGTTTCAAAGATAGTTGCCTTCGTGGTGTGACTGTGATTGTAATTGATAGTTGAGCACATTTGTGATATAAATTATCATGACATTAAAATCTTTTCTAGTAATTTGTTTTTTAATGCCTCAAAAATGTTTTTAATTTTATTTTGACTTCTTTGATTCTATTTCTATTGGAATATCGATATTAATAAATCGAGTTCCGAACTGTCAGAATGGGCATCCCGATTTGTTTGACTGTGACATAAGCAAAAAAAAAAAAAGATTGCGCGCGCAGAAATGAAACTGTACGAGATCAATAGAACGAAGAGACAAGAAAATCTAGATTTAGGTCTCATCTCTTTCACCCAGACAGTGTCTGTGTAGGATTTTAGCTCTATCCGGGGCTATATTGATGTTATCGATTGGGGTCCCGGGCGTTTTAGTACGTGGGAGCGACGGACATTCAAATGCAGGGCAGCTTCAGGATACAGTTGATAAATATGGGTACTCGTGCCGCTGCATGTAAGCGAAAATATATTTTAAAATATTGCTTTATTGCCATAATAACTTATTACATCGCTGCCATTAGTATAGAGGAAAGCGTAATTGAGTCTTTTATTTTTTAAAAATTTAAATGTTAATTCTAGATTTGAAATATCCTCACGAAGTCGGTTTTTTATTTATCTTTTGGTTTTCTTTTAATTTTAGCAAAAAAATTCATAGTTTAAACGTTAAATCACTTTGTTTATACTTATTTTCAAACATTTCTATTTTTTAAACTATCCAAAATGGTCCTGAAAATTATTTATTTTGAAACTGTGAGGCTAAATTCATTTTAAATTCCTATAAAAATGTATTATTAAATTTACAGAGATTTACCTTTCCTATTACTAAGGCAGGCTTGCATGCACATTTACTACATTTCTTTTTCAGAGGATCATAAGGCCCTGTTTCCGACCGGCCTCATTCTTAGTGAAAGCTTTTTTTGTGTAATGCAGTCCACGCAGTTCGATATGCAGCTTCTCATGGAGCCGCTCAACCAGAAAGGTGAGCTCGTGCTTACGAGCCATGTTTGTTGTCGCAGTCCGCACCTGTCTTCTTCCACGCTTTGTCTGACTGTTAGTTCCATCCTGTTGCATCTAGTTCTGTGTCACTACCGGTGTGTGTGATGTTCCTTTGTTCAATGTATTCACTCTGATCTCTGTGCTGTACCCTTTTTCTGTTTTTAATATATTTTCCAGTTCTCCGTGTAAGTCAATGTTAGAACAGAATATCTATAGAGCTGTTGCAATATTATAACATAAATATTAACTAGATAATGTTGTGGTCAATGTTTTAATAATGTAGGTGCCTCAGGAGTTAGGTACTTGACTTGTAATCTGCAGATTATGGGTTCGAATCCCATCATGTACCAAACTGTTGGTAGATTTTTGATTTCATATGTACATTGACTTGACAAGAGATAGTCAACCTCTGGGGGCTATGGTTGACTATGTCCTAGTCACCCCTAATTTAGGGTAGGCTCTGAACCCCTCAGTATGGTCATGTAGTGAGCTGGTGAATGTCTTGATGTTGTCCATCCAAATATCCTATGTTCTTGTGTTGCACGGAAACCTACTTCTATTATTTCTGTCCTTATATATTTCTCTTTATTTGTGTTCGATGTCTTCATGCCATATGTGGTATTAAATATACAATATATGTTTATAAATGTTGTAACAGGATGTAATCAATGCCATGTTCTTGCTGTATTTGAAACATATGAAAATTTTGAATTAATATTATTTTAATATTTTCTCTTAACAGTCATAATATTATTAATTTTAACAATGGATTTGAATATTGTCTTTGAAGATATAAAAAACTTCTTCAGATTGACATTGGTGGAGTGTAATCAAATATTCTATGATATTGAATTAAATGAACATAATGATTCATTAGTGTTATAATAGGTTAAACTAAATTTCAAAGGAGTAAAATGTTACTGTCCAGAAACACATTTCAAGAATTAATTGAACCAAAAATAGTAACAAACGGTTAAAAGTGTCTGGGAAACTGATCGTAAGTCAGTTTTATTAATTAATTAATTAACAATACTTCATTATGTTTTAAATTAATATTAATATTTTAACATTTACTTAAGCAACAGCAAGTAAGAAATATAAGTGATGTTTGGTATACAAATGTAATTTATATACAGTTGTAAATGTTTGTCTTTGGCTCACCTTTCTTTCAGGTCTTGAGCAGCTGTTTACTTCATACATTGCACATATTATTTCAACTAAGCACAGTTTAAACACTTATTTTTGTTACTTTTTTGTATGTAACTTTATTTTGCATACTGATTTACCTGCTTTTTGTATATAGGATTTCTGTGCAAACATGCTATGGTTTAATAAAGAAATGTTTTGTTAATTTTGTTTTATTTCTAATTCATTTTATTCTTATATTTTAAAGCTTTTTATTTATTTTTTAATTATTGGTACTTTTAACATTGTTTACAAAATTACTCTTCTACTCTATTTCCCATAATGCTATATTTTAAAATAGTAAATATTACAGTTTTTTTTTTAATTTGTACTGCTTCACTAAGCCTAAACGACTATAATATATACATAAAAGAAATTTCAAATAGCAATTAATTGTATACGCCAGTCTTTAGCACAAAGAATTTTTATCTACGTATATTATTTTAAAATCTACATATACACAAACTTGGACAGAGTTGTATAAAAATAAAAACCAATCGAATTGAGGACGAACTTTTTGAAACTATTGAGAATCAAAGATGCATCACGATACATTGCTATTTAAAAGTTCAAGGCGCTTCACGAAGTTTTTTGGAAGCAGGAATGAAGCAGTGATACATTAAAAGGCACTAAAGGAGAACTGTTTGTACATACACCTCTGCTTCAGTGACTGCTAATGTACACTTGTACGAGCGGCGATTGGACACATACTTCATACGTGAAAAAAAACTGAAATTATTAAGTAATTCCAAACGTGTGTCAAGCATATCGAAGGAAAGAAAAGTGTATGTTTTTAAATTGGTTATTAAAGAAGGGTAACGAAAAGCTTTCGAGCATAATGCGTGGATATTTAAATGCGAAAGTGTGGTTTATACCTAAATGTAACATAACAATTTATTTCTTTGTACCATAGGCGACCAGTTGATCTAGGTGGTAGACCAAAGAATAAGTCGGATTATGAATAATAAATAAAAATAATACATTTATTCCGAAATGCATTTATTACAAAATACTTATCAAGATGAAATTTAAATTACTTTGTGTTTTTTACAATCTTGGATTCTAAGAGGGCAGCCGCCCCTCCCTGACCCACTTTGGCGTCGCCCATTCCTTGTTGTTGCGTGTTATTTTGATTGTTGGTATGCCGACAGTCACGGCGAAGATCCGGAGTCTCTACGACTTCCAACTGCGGCTGATGCACAACATCGCGCCCCTGCCCTCCGGCGTCGACATCGCCAACACCGTCAAATACTTCTCACAGACGTTACTTAGTAAGTACTAAGTGGGTTTTGAAGTACAGTCGTTTTAATCTTAAATAAAACTCAAAATGTAATTCAAAGAAAAGCGAAACTTGCAGTTTTCTTTAAATATCAGTGACAGTTATACGGGCAATTTGCAAAAGTATGCCTTCTTAACTGTGTGTTAGAGTTGACTGTTTTTTTTATTTACAAAAGTACTGGAACGTTATATTAGTATTTTTTTCTGCAGGCGTTCTTAAAGATGTACCGCGTTCACCTCTTGAGATGATACGCGATGCGGACAGCGACGCTGAGCGTATGGCTTTATACCCCAATCTGGACTACAAAGGGCTGTTTAACGCTATCTCACAACTAGTTGACTCCGCACCTCATATACAGTATGGCATACAGGGTACGAGTTAATCTTAATTCTAATACTGCCTCATGTTTCCTCTGATAAAAAGCCAATGGTAACAAAGTACCTAAAGTTAAGTGGTCACCATCACAATAGGTAATTTGAAATACGTCATAAGCTAAAAGGTTACGCTCTATTCTTGAATGATTCTTAGTATAACATTGGAGACAAATCTTGCTATTTATAACCGTCACTTAAATTCGTGAAAGTCGTACAGTAGACAAATAACTATTAAGAGCAGCTCAAAACTAACCTAACACATCATATTTCGTCCATAGCGTTTGGGCAAGCGGTACTGCAATGCCTGGGCTGCTTGTTACCATTCCTGGAGTACGACATGATAGACAACCTGCCTTACATGGTGGCGTACTGTGTCGCTGTGTTCCCCGCCTGCCTGCATCAGGAGATACTCCATCTATTGTGCTACTACATACTGCCTTTTACTATCAGTAAGTTATTCTAGGCCTTGTTTGGTATTCGCCAATCACTAGATGATGTATCAAATATTTACTTGTACAAAATTTTAATATAGCTCGTAGATATTCCGGTATGGAAGAGGAGAGCCAGGCGTCTCAATCAGTCGGAGCGATCATTATGATGGTGTTCCAGCATTCCAATAATCCAGGTATTATCCAAATGTTCTGAAACCCTAAAGTCCTAAGTTCATAATAGAGATTTAAGCCCCGGGACTTTTTTAAATTTATACTGGAACAACTCCGTAAGAAGTAATTTCTCTTAATATTAAAGACAATGAGAGTCTTTTTGCATCTTTCATTAAGGAAAATGTCATCATTAGGACACCAATAGGATAGTATGATAGGACAGTGGACTCATCGTAACCATTGTGGACAGCGCACCACTGCCAGCTGCTGGAGTGCCTGATGTCGATGAAGCAGCAGACGGTGCGCGACGTGCTGTGCGTGGTGGCGCACGGCACGTGGGGCGCGCGCCTCTCCGCCGCCAAGCTGCTCTTCTACTACTGGCCGCCGTTCGACGCCAACCTCTTTGACCGCAAAGGCCTGCTCTGCAAGTTCTCCAGTCAGTACGAGTTGCACAATCACACCCTCCTAGAGACAATAAAAATGAAAAAATCAAAGAGACAGTAAAATTTAAAAGAAACTATAAAAACACATTTGGATCAAGAATAAATCCTGAAAGCAAACAAGGACTCTGACCTATCTATGTCGGAGTAGCACTAGAATTAAAAAAAAACCTAGAGACTATCAAGTAATTCTCAAGTCTTCTCGTTATTTTCTTGTCTCAATTCCTTGGTTGGTGTGCAGATGACTTGGTGCCGTTCCTATGCCAGCGAGATATGTGCCCCAACGCGGGCAGCGCTGAAGCGGCCAAGGTGTGCTACGACCACTGCATTAGCGTCACTTTCGCCTCCGACACGCCGCCGCCCCTCTACCTCTGCATTGAATGTGCTAATGAGATACACAGGTAATATAAGCTAACACTACATAACCTGATTTTAATTCTTGTCGAAATAAATACAAATGTTTATAATATTGAACAGGGAGCATCCTAATCAACGGTTCTTTGACATCCTACATCCTCAGCAGCAGGTGTCAATGGTCTGCGAGAACAAGGTCAGCAAGTCTATCCTATGCTCATCTATGTTTATTGTCATTTGCTGATATTAATCTTGTATTCAATAGAACTGCCGTTCCACGGATAAGTCTGCGTATTCCATCTGCTTCTCTAACGAGTGTGCCAGTTACAATGGGAACCATCCCATTAGGTAAATATTAAACTGTTCAGGATAAAGAACTTGTTTGATCTTGGTTTTCAGTTTTTAAAGCGATAGTATACTTTAGGTACTGCCAGCAGTGCCACGGCAACCGGCACAACAGCCGGCGTGGTGGCGACCACGTGACGCACGCGCGTCTGCCGCCCGCCTGGCACATGGACTCCGACATGCAAACCAACCTCGTAGAGGCCATCATCAGGTAATATACATAAAAACACCAGGTTCCAGTTACCTGTGATTGGTCAATCTTTAATATGTTTCCATTTCGACTCCTTATTTATTATGTAGGGAAACTTCTTTGAAGATCGTCTTCTCGTTTCATCTTCATTTTTTATTGACTTTGATCGAAGTATTATACCGTAGCTTGCTGAAGGAAGCGAAACCTATCAACATGGAGGACCCAGACAGTGGCAGCGACCAGCTCGGCCCTCCGCTATGCGTGCAGCTACCAGACCCTATCTCCGTAGAAGATCGACAACTGCTGGGCAGGTGCGGAAATTTCCACAGAAGAGAAGACTTAATAATTTTGAGATTTGTATCGACTTGTGCATTTTGAAGGTACGGGGTATGGTTGATGGTGGGGCTGTGTACACCCAACCCTGACACTCCTGAAGAGATTCTTGGCAGACTGCTCTCCGTGCTGTTCCATTGGTTCCATGTAACATCCTTCTCTTACACAGGTATGTATTCTTAATTGTAGTTTCACAGCAGAGCAGTGAGAGTAACGCACTGCTGTACTGTCTGACAAGCAGTACAGCAAGCAATAGATGTTGGTTCTGTCAGGTGAGATAGCGAACACGGTGGAGAAGTTGAAAGTGGAGCACGTGTGCGGGTGGGTGCGGCTG